GCTGGCAATCAGCATATCCATGTCAAACTGCAGGGACTATCTACCACCTTTAAAATCAATATGCTCCCACAGATTTTCATCAATACATGTCAGAGTCTCCTCCAACAAGAGAAGTAAAACTCTGCAGAAGAAGAGAAAATGAGGACGAAGTGGTTTATGTTGTAGTCCTAATAAGCAGTGCTGCTATAGTTTCTCTGGCCTTCTTCCTTTGTAACATGTATCGAAGAAGCTTTCCGTTGTTTTCCCACTATCTTTCATACTTGAAAATTTCCCAACATACACATCTCCAATTTTAAAATATGGTCTTGGGTTACAAACAACTTTGTTTCATTGTTAGATCAACAGGATATAATGACATAAGCTTGCCTCTGTGCAACATTATTCCCACAGTTAGGTTTGCCTGCCTACATACCCAAACAAAACAGAAACTGTTTTAAACCGCTGTAGAGGTTTAGACAGGTTAAGGCTGATCTGTGATAGAGCTAAGTTGTATTGTCACATAAATATTAATACAGAAGAAAAAGGAGAGAGGGAATACTCACCTGGAGTTGGGAAGTCAGATCAGATGAGACCAGCTGTTTTCAATAGGTTTGTGAATTTAGAATTTATAGAAGTCTGCTGTGTAACTGCACCTGAACAATGCCTTTATTTGAAAAATACACCCAGTTTTCATTGCTTGATGAAAAATACCTTTAGCTAAGATCTTACTACTAGAAGAAACTTGGGTTTCTCATTTAGGGTAAGTATATCTGAGAGATATATACCACATGACCTTATCTTTTATTTATCAGAAATATCCTGTCTATTTCGACTTTCCAGCTAAACTCTTCATGGATAATTGTATGTTTTCTTTGACATAATTTACTTTCTTACTGAGACAGCTCTCCCCATCAGTGGTGTTAGAATAAAACAACACAGCTGGTTATATCCTGGGGTGAATTTTCCTTTTCTTCAGTTTCGTAATTTATTTATTTATTTCTAACTGATGGCACAGAAATATACTGTAGATTCCACATTCCTATTATTTTTGCCACATTCCTATTATTTCCTATTATTTTGCCAAGTCAAAACTACTTTAGTGGTTAGTATAGCAGATCCTTGCCTTGATTTAAAAATAACTCTGGAATCAAGAAAACACTTGGAACTCAAATGACTACTGATCCATCATAAATAAAACAGTCTTTACATGTTTCTAATTGATGGCAGGCATCTTTTAAGACACTGATTTTGGTTTTCATTTTTTTTCACTTCTGGCAGCTGAAGAGGAACAGTCAGTGTGAGTTCAGCAGTCAAGAAAGAGTTAACTATCTTTACTGCCTAAATCCATAGTCTGTCAAAGAAGAGCTAACTATCTTTACTGCCTAAATCCACACTCTGTTGCTCCAGCCTGTACCAAGCTGAACTGCTGTTGTGTAAAAGTTGGTGACATTTGTTCAGAGGAAGACCACTGTTTCCTGAGCTCCAATGCAGCTATTTTAAAAGCTCTTTTGTCATATACAGCTTCCTCCTACCACTCATTTATATAGATCTCTTGTAGCTGTTTCACCAGTCATGAGGGCTCGAAGATATAACTTTTCTTTAGGGGATCAAATCACTCTTTCCATGTGTGTAACAATCATGGGGAGGGAAAGAAGGAGTTCTCTTAAAATGAAATACCTCAGCACTTCAAAATTCTGTATCCTTAACTTCTGTTTGAAAATTGTTAACTTCAACTGAGTGGCTCTGTAATTTCAAGCTGCTTTCTGCAACTAATGGGTCCCTACACTGTCATGCCTGTGCATTTAGTGATGGCACTGGAACAGGTTGTCCAGAGGTTGTGGATTCTCCCTCACTGGAGATATTCAGGAACCATCTGGACACAATCCTGCGCCATGTGCTTTGGGACGACCCTGCTTGTGCAGGGAGGTCGAACCAGGTGACCCACTGAGCTCCCTTCCAATGCTCTCTTCCGACCCATTCTGTGATCAGCAAAGTACTGACATAATGACAGCAGTCTGGGATGGCACTGCTCAGATAAAAACAACTGGTGAGGGGCAGCTAGAATCAATACCAGAAGTACTGTGTAATCAATTTATATCCAGGTCAAGCTCCAATTTGCATGGGTCCTAGTACTTACCGAAGCTAGTGGTTTTAAGAACATGTTAAAACTAGCAACAAGAGACTGAATGAACATGCAAGCACACTTTACTGATTTTGACATAGATGCAAAACTGCTTTAAACCATAAACCAGAAGTACTGAGGAACAGCCCATCATTCACCTCTTATAAGAATAAATAGCTGGGGATAGGGCAGTGCAAACTTTGTTTTCTCAAAAATCTTCCTTCATGTTGCCGATATGTACATAAAATGTAATCTCAGCACTGATACCTGTACTACCACTGAGTGCCCCTGTTTCTTGAAGCCTCAACCAACTGTTCCCATTTGCTCTCTTCTACCTTGGACATAATTTTTTTGCCAATCTGCTCTGGCTAAAAAAGAATTTCATTACAGTAAAATTAGATTTTTTCAACATCAGTTTTATGAAGTGATGCAAGCCTGCACTGTCTGAGTGCATGCATTGTTTCACTGAAGCAGGGCAGCTAGGTAGCACCACGTTTCCCTGACCTTACTCCACCAGGCTGAGCAACTGAATTCCACTATATTTTATTTCTTTCCCTTTTTGCCTATGAACTCTCTTATTCTCCCTTATTCTAAAGCATTAAGTCATGATGATGATTCAGCTTGCCATACTAAAAACAAAAATAAAATTATAATGTGTTTTCACTTGAGCTCAGTGTCTGAGCTTGTTTTCATCTTCTCTGTGTGGCATACTCTCTAATTTTTGTGCAGATGTGCAGCATTAGGTTTCATAGCCACATGTATTTTCTGTCAGGGGAAAAATACCTGCTTGCACTGCAGCCTGTCGCTTACCTGCTGTGTCCACAAAAGGCACCTGCAGAAATATTGTTAAGTCTCTTCAGATTTTATGCAATGATACTGTCTTCTCCATGAGAAGAAAGTATTCAACAGTGAAGGAAAAGACAACAACCACAGTGGTATGGTAGACAGAAATTTCACACTGCCAACATTATCACCACAGCACTTACAGAGACTCATCTGTAACTTTGAGAGAAAAATAAAGGACTTGTAATTCATGATTATGTTGCTTTGGGTAGAACATGATGATTTTACTTTAAATTTAGAATTCACAAGGCAGTTTATAATGGGATAACTGATACAGGAATACTAAGTGCCTTATGCAAGGCTACATGATAATCCAGTTACAAAATGATGACAATCCTTACATCTTCATTTCTGAAGTCCACTTATTCAGTATCATTACTGATTTAATACCAGTTGTGTTTTTTTTACTGTACAGCTTGGTGTCTACAGCTGCATGATAATCAATTTACACTAAAGACAAAAACCCCTTTTTTATGAACTGCATAGATTACCACTTAGACAAGAGGTGAGTAGTGAAATGCCCCAGTTTGACATCCAATCTTTGTATTAAACAAATTAAACAGCAGTAACTTTTCAAACTAGTTTACTTCCATTATTCCTCCAAGCTTTTCTGTAATGATTACAAAAATTTTGTCCGGTTTATTTTTTCACTTTTATTGGAGCTTTGCTTCTCAGAAATCAAAATTACAATCTAACAGATAGACATAAGCAATTTCATGTTCAGCATGTTTTTAAAATCATTAATTAAAGTAACCTAAAAGGCAAATTTTAGCTGGCTGAAGACTACATTTTTCAATGTGATGCTTTTCAATAGTCTGCCATTAAAGCCATTTTTACAGGCTTCCCAGGGAGGTCATGGAGTGTCTCTGGTGACATTCAAGACCCACCAGGACACTTACCTGTGTAATCTGCTCTAGATGAGCCTGCCTGAGCAGGGAGATTGGATAGGATCATCTCCAGAGGTCCCTTCCAACCCTAATGATTCTGTGAATTTTGAGGTGAGTGGTTTTGGTGATTAAAGTTGGAGGGTATAAATAAAAAAGTCCCACTTCAGGTCTCTTGTGTCCTATGAAAACTTCCTGTATGGGCCTGTTCAAGCTGCCAAAGACACAAGTCCCCAGGGTACTTCTCAATACAACCTCAGGGTACTTAGGATACTCCTATTTTCTAGGCTATCTATGCCTCTAATATGTGTCTGTGTTTATTTCAATCATAGAACCATAGAATACCAAGGGGTTGGAAGGCACCTTAGAGACTGTCCAGTTCCACCCCCCCACACACATCCAGGGATACCTCCCACTGCACCAGTTGCTCAAGGCCTTATCCAATCTGGCTTTAAACGCTGCCAGGGATGGGGCATCCACAGGTTCTCTGGGCAACTTGTTCCTGTGTCTCACTACCCTCACAGCAAAGCATTTCTTCCCAATATCTAATCTAAATTTCCCCTCTTTTAATTTGTACCCATTTGTACCCATTGTCCTATCATTACAATTCCTAATGACGAGTTCCTCTCCGGCCTTCCCGCAGGCGCCCGGCCAGGACTGCTAATTAAGTAAGAGTACTATAGACATTCACCACGTACCTGCAACACTACACCCAACCCGCTCACTTTCACCACTCTATCTCTGTGCTCTATCTTTGGGATACCTACCCAAATCCGTCATTACCAGCTGCTTCTTTTAGGCCTAAAAGCCCCTCCGTAAATTGTGCCGGTTCCTCCCAGCACAATGCAGTTTCGCCTTTTGGCTTCCCCCACAAACTGCACAGGGTTGCGCCTGTTTCCTTCCACTGTGACCCGCCAGACGCAAGACACTCCCCCGCCAGAGATACACCGGCACGGCTTTCCCTGTCCGGGGGGCCACACCGGCACAGCTTCCCCACTCAAGGATACACAGGCTTCCCCTGTCCGGGGAGTCACACCGGCACAGCCCCCCACGGCCCGACCCGGGGCGCTCACACTGGCACAGCCCCCGCAGCTCGGCGCGGGGCGGTCACACCGGCTCGGCTGCCCCGGCCCGGGGCGGTGCCGCGCCTGCGGAGCCCGCGGTGTGCGGCAGGGGCGGGGCGGCGCAGGCGCGGGGCAGCGGCCGGAGCAGAGGTGAGGCGGGCGCGGGGTCGGGGTGGTGGGGCTGTGTTAGCGTCGGGGGTGGTGTCAGCGGCCTCTCTGCGGGGAAAAGAGCGAGGCCATCCTGCGTCTGCCTCCCCGGTGCCTCCCCGAGAGGTTCAGACCAGATCCGCACGGTGCCACACGGGCCTGATACGGGCCGGGAGCGCGGAGGTGCCGCAGCCGCCGAGGTGGCGGCGGCTGCGGTGGAGAGGCGGTGGTGAAAGCGAGCCTCTGGTCAGCCCGTGGGTGCAGGGGGTCAGTGGGGGTTGGCTGGCGCCGTGTCTTCCCTGAAAATCGTAAAGTCACGGTGTCAGATGGCCAAGTCAGATGGCCTTGGCTTCCCGGCTGCCGCTCGGGCGGGGCACCGGCTGCCTCCTGAGAAGAAGCCGGAGCGAAAGAGGTTTTACGCTTCTGCTGTGAGGTGATAAATAAAAAAAGAACTTCAGATACAGAGTTTTGGCGAGTTGAGCTGTGGTAGTGAGGTGTGTGTTCCTGCTCCGTTGGTCCCGGGTGGGATTCCCTGCTGCTGTCACCTGGAGTGCTGCAGGCAGAAAGGCGAGGAAAGCTGCCAACTGCTCATGAGAGGTTTTCCTCAATATGGGTGGGTTCTAGCTGTTGAAGTTTTCCGTCCTTGGTTGAATTTGTTGGCAAACCTTTTTTATTTCATATCGCCCTGTGACTTTAGCCTAACTTTTAGGGAAGATGGAACTTCCTGTTAGCTTGTGCAGCCTTATCAGAATGGGGAAGCTGTAGACTTGGTGGAAACAGCTAGGGAAGATATTCAGGGATTGTGTCCACGCAAGATAAGAAGTTGTCCGTCAATATATTCTATAAAGTGCTGAGCGCTTGTGTCATAACACCCTGCATATGATGTAAAGGATAGATTTATTGTGTCAGTTTTCGTACACAAGCTGTACGTTGTGCAGGTTCATCATACTTCTCTAGTGAGTAAAGGGCATTTGAGGTCTGACTAATGATTGTAAAGCATGCCACTTTTTTATGTGAAACATACATATGTATATACACAAACTTCCTTTCTGAATGAAGTCTGTGATGAAATCTCGGGTGAAGAAGCCAGATTGCTCTTGAAAGTGTCATTTGGAAAGAAAAGAATTGTGGAAAGGCTTTGATTGGAAGGGACCTTAAAGATAGGATGTAGTTCCAATGCCCCCAGCTCTGGGCAGGCATGCCATCCCACTGGTGTTGCTCAGTGCTCCATCCAGCCTGGCCTTGAGCATTGCCAGGGAGCAGGCATCCACTTCTCTGGGCAACTTTTTCCAGTGCATCGCCACCATCACATAAAGAATTACTTCGTAACATCTGATCTAAATATTTTCTTTTAAATAAGGTTTAAAACAAGTGCTAACACTATTTGCCCATGTAAAAAGAAGATGAGATAATGATGATGGCTGCTCTAACTTTTTTGCCTCTGTAATTTTTTTCTTTTTTTTTTAGGTAATGTAAGCATTTTAGTTAGACAAGAGAGAGGAAACAGGCATGTCAGCTCTTTGTCCACCACCATCTCCTGCAGTTGCTAAGACAGAAATCTCTTTGAATGGCGAGTCACCATTATTAGCTGCCACTTTTGCTTACTGGGACAATATTCTTGGCCCCCGAGTGCGGCACATTTGGGCTCCAAAGACAGAACAGGTACTTCTCAGTGACGGTGAAATAACTTTTCTTGCTAACCACACCCTGAATGGAGAAATACTTCGGAATGCAGAAAGTGGTGCAATAGATGTGAAGTTCTTTGTTTTGGCCGAAAAAAGAGTAATCATTGTGTCATTAATCTTTGATGGAAACTGGAATGGAGACAGAAGCACATATGGACTGTCAATTATACTTCCGCAAAGTGAACTTGGTTTCTACCTGCCCCTTCACAGAGTGTGCGTGGATAGGTTAACACATATTATAAGGAAAGGAAGGATATGGATGCATAAGGTAAGTTTTTTGTTCATTCCTTAAAATAGTTGTTAGGTTGTCTTAGTGCAGTAGCAAAAATTGAGATGGTGTGATGTCTGTTATGTGGAGTCCAGAGAGACAAACTCAGAAAAGGCTGGTCTCTGTACAGTTTTGACAGTTAAAGGTTGTCAGATTGTAAATCAGCAAATTCAAGGCTGGGATTTTAGCTTGGATTATCCTCTTGATACTATATTGCCTCTACAAGACTGTATAGTTGAAAGAGGCTTCCTGTACAGTTTTTTATCTCTCTGAATTTCATATTAATTGTTGCTTTTAATTGTGTTAATTTGTGTATTTAAAGTAGGTATAATTGTAAATTTACTGTGTTTCATATAGTTGTTTTCCTTGTTGAGGTCCAGAAAAGGGAACTGATGCAGTTAATCTTCCCATTCCTGTTACATGTTTATTTTAAAAAAAGAGAATGTTAACAAACAGTTTGTGAGGACTTAAACTTTTTAGAACTAAAGGGAGATCTACAAAAGTACATCTACTTTAGTCCAAATATTTTTACTCCTGGAACTTAAAAATGAAGACATGCTAATTTTTTCTTAAGTGGTGAAACTCTGACCTTTGGATAAATCATCAATATTTCCTTATTAAGTGAAATCTTTTATGTATTTTTCTTTAAACTAAATAACAGTCTAATGGTAAAATTTAAAATTTTTGTCATCTTTATGGAGTCCAAGCTGTCTTAGAGCAGTAGAGTGCCCATCAGCTGTAATGAATCTGGTGATGTACATTTGTCTGGTATCTTCTGTTCTGAGGCTTGTAGTCAACATACTTTAAACTTACTCTTTGAGTGCTCTTATCTGAACTAATTACAGAAATAACAAACTGATACTATTTTTGTGGTGGTGTTTCCTTTTGCTGTATTGCCTTATGGCTGGTAGTGCTTTCTGAAACACTGGGTTTTCATAGTTTCTGGGGTTCATTTTTTAAAGGAAAGAGAGGACATAAACTTCTTTCTCAATATAGTAAAAACACATATATTTAATTCCTTATCTAGTCTTTTAAACTCCTGTTAATGTTAGTGGTTTTAATGTAAGTGAATGGTGTCTTATTTTGCTTATTTTGCTTCTTTCATTTAGTGTCCTCTGCACTGAGTTCTAATGAGAGTGGTCAAATAAGAATTATCCATAAATTTTAGCTGTAATACATTTTCTCCGTTTTTATATTGCTCCATGCCAATATGTTTTCACAGTGGACGTGACCTTCAAGCAGCATTGAGAATGATTTTTTTTTTCTTTAAGCAGGTAGGCCAGTTGAATTAGCTGAGACAGCAATACATTCTGAATTAGAATTTTTTTTTTTTGAGAGAGCACAGATTTCTGCATATATTTGCAGTTTTTCAGTCTCATTCAGAAAAGAGAAAACTCATTGGAAAATTTAGATTAAAATTTAGGCATGATTTGTAGAATAATTGTAACTATGATAATAAATTAAAACTGCTTCATTCTGTAGTTTGCATTTTGAGGCATTTTAGCAGCTATGGTTACATACAGCAAATCAAAATAATGATCAAGTCTAATGTGGATCTGTCCTGGCTGTTCTAATAGTTGTGAATATTAGCTCTCATTACTTCTGTGTAGAGTCAGACAACATTTCCAAGTAGACTTGAGATGAGAAGAGCCTTTTGAACTCAAGAATTAGGAGAAACACGGAGCAGTGTCCAGACTGGCAAAGAAAGCAGGCAACTCTGAGCAAGTCATCAATATGGGATTAAAACCCCATTCACCTACTCCAGTTTATGCTTTGTATGTCTTTCTAATAATTTTCAACAGTTATATTTTTGAAAAGAAGTGGTCTACACCATTTGTTCAGCCTTATCTTCAAGAAGACTGAGTTTTTTAAAATTATTTTCAAGGATGTCTTCCTTCTCGGACTGAAGGGTGGAGGTGCCCTGAAGGAATCTGCCTTGTTCCAGTATTGTTTTTCACTGATGCTTCTTTTAGATGGTTAGAAAAGGCTTATTGCTGTTTAAGGGCAAACTGCTGTAGCTTATTCCCTATTCATCTGCTCAAAAAAATCTCTTGCCAACTCTTTTCACACTTGAAGGTGATTAACTCTGAGTAGGTCAGTCACAGGAAACTAATGATTAACCAATAAAAATGCAATAACCTATCAGCATCTAGCAAAAGATATCATTAGTTCTCCCAGCATCTGCTATTTTTTGTGACTTGTATTGATGCTGCAGCGATTAATGCCAGATCCTCTTCCTGAATAATAACTTCATTCCATTGCAAGTTCATTTTAAATGCAGTTTGCTATTCAGCTGCTGGTGAGCCTGTTTTCAGAGCTTTGTTCAGCCTCTTGTAGATTGTTTTGTGTACTCTGAGGTTTTGTGTCTCCTGTACTTGTTTATAAAACAATGTTTTGAAGACCTGTAAGTGCCTCAAGCGATGGGGAAAAAAAAAGTCTTTTGTTTCCCACCCTCCCCAGTGCAATAATTTTTCTCATTCTGAAGATCTTATTTTTTTCCTGTTATGTCAGGAATACTCAATCTATGCTATATCCATCTGAAAATAAAAATCCATACATAAAGTGGAATTCTTCGCCATAATCTCATCATCTGGCATTTTCTTGATCTGCAGTGACAAAAATGTTTGACATTGTCATCAAATCCTTCCTTTCCTGCCCAAACATGGGAGATGTGCAGTGGAGGGCAGAGCAGGGAGCGTTGATCTGTGTTGCATGACATCACCTCTTCCTAAAGTTAACTCCGTAAAAGAAAAAGTACTTGAACATCAAAATTTGAATGTAAGAAGCCTGACTCCACAGGGAAGAAACTGAGTGACTGGTGTGTGCCTACATACATGAACAAATGCCAGAGAGTTTATATTTAACTGCTTCTCTTGCAGGAGAGGCAAGAACATTTCCAGAAGATTGTCTTGGAAGGCACAGAAAGAATGGAGGATCAGGTAAGGGCCATCTGGTAGATGCATATGGCGCACCATTGCAAAACCATTTGACTGCCTCTTATTACTGTAGAAGTAGATGTTGTTTCTTATTTTTGGGATCTGGAGAATGCATTAGACTGGCTAATAATGTGACATGCACACTAGGCAAAGTTTCTGAAGATAGGATGATGGAAGCTGTGATCAAATTAAAGGAAATTATATTTCATCACTTTAGGGATAAAGTAGAAATTTGTGAAGAATATTACCTTTCAGAAAAGGAAACTCATTAACTTGAACTTGAAGCTCTGTAAAGGTAGCAGCTTCCATAGAGTCATGCCAGCCTCCTATCAAGCTTGTTTTTGGTTAGGTTTAGAATTATGGAGACATACGGACTCTGTGATGTTGAAATATGCTTGGAGATTTAATGGATGAGACTGTGAAAAGAATTTGATTTCTGAAACTCTAAATATGAGACTGTGGCTTCCTTCTCTTGTGATAGATAAGTCAGGAAAGTATTTTTGTATGTTAATGAGTAATGTGCCTGGTTTTGTTTTCCAGTCATTGTTATAAGATCAGACTTGAATGTAAAATGCTTAACAGTGATTGCATGTAACATAGTATGATCAAGTTATCTCACATCAAATACTTCTTGTCTAGGCCAATCAAAACTAATGCTGAAAATTAGCATAAGACCCAGATACACATGTTAGGTGTGACATTGAGAAGCCAAATACCTTTTTCCAGTTTATAATTATTGGTGAGCAAAGCCCAAATCTATGCATCAATTTCTGCTCATACTACCCTTCCGAGCAGTAGGAAGTTAGGATGTTTTGCGTGTAATACTGCAAGTACATGTTGGGAGTAACTTCTGATACTACCCAATGTGCTTTTACTTCAAGCATCTTATTTATTGTTCAGGGTCAGAGCATCATTCCAATGCTGACAGGAGAAGTCATTCCTGTAATGGAACTCCTTTCATCTATGAAATCACACAGTGTTCCAGAAGAAATCGATGTAAGTTCTGGTTTTATTTTTTTTCTGAATTTTTGAAAAGTGACTTTCTTCCTCTGGATAAAACATAGCTTTGGGCCTTTACTTTGGTACTCACTTTCCCAGAGAAAATGCCCATTTTCCTAAATTCTTGTACATTTCTGTTGCTTCACATCAGGTTCTCCTAAGTGGTATAATGCATGGCAGTATTTTTAATTGTCATCACTTAGCAAAATCGTCTGCATAGGATTATGTCATTGTATGAATGGAGAGGCAAACCAAAATGAATGGGCAGATTAATGGATTTGATGTGGATACCTGTTTCAGTGCATTATAGTGTTCTCATGGAAAAAGTAGAAGTGATATGATGTGCACTAATCTAAAGTATTCTGGACATTCTTTACAGAAAAAAAATACACTAGGAGAAACCTGGCTTGTACTGGTGGAGACTTAATAATCAAGTGACTCTCATTTTCCAAATGCTTTGTCTGAAGACAGGTCTTCTTAAGATAATGCTTTTTGGGGAAGCCTTACAAGATAACTTAAATAGTTTCCAAACATTTCCCATGTAGCAAAGCGAAAATCAATTAATTGGAAGGTGATCAGATTCTTGTCTAACTTCTGTTTATATTTACTTGCATTTCAGATAAGTGACACAGTGCTAAATGATGATGACATTGGGGATAGTTGCCATGAAGGCTTTCTCCTCAAGTATGAAATTCAGTTTTGATTTATACTGTAGTAAAATGATTTAAACTTGTGTATGCATCTACATGTATCTATCTGCATGTGCATGTGAACATGGATTGGAATAGATTTCTTTATAAGAGGGGGAAAAATGACATATATTTGGCTTTTTGAGATTTTTGTCATTAAAATGTTATAAAGTTTCTGTCATTCTAAAAGAATGGTTCTGAGATAATAGCTGCATCTCTGTAGACTTTGTTGTCACAGGATTATTTGTTTGATAATAGAATTCCTATTAAATACATGTTTTTCTTAGATACCTACATCTAATTTTATAAGACTTTAAGTGGAAGTCTTACATTTTTTTAAATAGCAAAAAACCTGGGTTGTGCATAAGTCTAAATGAGAGTCCTTAATGGTATGGCATATAGCATGCTTATTGTTGAGTTGTGTATTTCTCTTTTAGCCCTGGTTTTAATTTTTAAGTGGAAATAGTTGAACTTGAGAGCAGTTTGGCCTCTTCCTGTGGGAGGGTTTAATAGGTTTTAATTGATGTTCTGTTACATTTCATTGTATCTCCTGCATAACTGCATTCATATATGTAGTGCTTGGTGCCATCTATTTATACACCATCACATGTGCTTCCAATACTGAAGAAACCGTTGAACTTTTGGATTTCAGCTGTAACCTATGCTGCTGTTTAAAGTCCTATAGTTATGGACATGTAGGCTATATTTATAATTGAAACACTTCTCTTCTTGTGAAGGTGACAATTGTTTCATTTAAAAAATCTGATTAAATGTATTAACCTATGTCTGTTTTTACTTGCAGTGCAATTAGTTCACACCTGCAGACCTGTGGTTGTTCTGTAGTTGTAGGAAGCAGTGCAGAAAAAGTTAATAAGGTAACATACTTTCTAATAAACTGAACTTAAATGCTGATTATTAGGAGTGTAACTTGGAACAAAGTTAATCTATAAACATTCTTCAGGCTGAAGAAGGAAGGAGTACTATTGTCTGGCTGTCTTCAGTTGACTGGTCTAGCAGAAGAGAATTCTGCCAGAAAATTGCCTTTCAGTTGTATTCTGACAACTATAAGAAAACCAATGTATTTAACTTATACAATACATAAATGAGTATTAAATGAGTCTGAGCTTTTAAAATCAGATTTTCTAGCTAAAATACACAAATAGAAGAGACCTGACTGGCTTGTCCATTTCAGCTATGTCATAGAATCACAGAATGATCAAACTTGTATGCGACCTTTAAGGTCATCCAGTCCAGCCATCCACCTGACACTGCCACTGTAGTCCCTAAACCACTCAACCACTTCACCCAGCACCAGATTTAAGACACCTCTTCAACATGTCCAGCCATGGGGTCTCCACCACCTCCCTGGGAAACCTATTCCAGTGCCTGACAGCTAACAGTGAAAATTTCTTTTATAATAATTAATCCGAGTCTCCCCTGTCTCATTTTAAGACCATTTCCTCTTGTCCTCTCACTGCGGGCACAGCAGAGAATGGAGACATAGGAGAGACTGGTCCTCATCTCACTGCATCTTCCTTCCAGGGAGCTGTAGAGAGTGATAAGCTCACCTGAGCCTCCTTTTTTCAAGACTAAATAGCCATTCCCCCTCAGACATGTTTTCTAATCCTTTCCTTGTTGCCCTTCTCTGGACACATTCTAGCAGTCCAGCACTTCAGTGTGCTTTTTGAAGTGAGAGACCCAGAAGTAAAGACAGCATTTGAACTGTGGCCTCATGAGAACCAGGTACAGGGGGACAAGCACTGCCCTGGTCCTGCTGCCACAGTATCTTGCTGGGATACTGGCCAGGATGCTATTGGCCTTCATTATTACCTGGGCACACTGCTGGCTCATTTAAATCTGGCTGTCAACCAGCACCCCCAGGTCCCTGTCTCCTGAACAGCTCTCGAGTGACTCTGTCGCCAGCCTGTAGTGCTGCATGGGGTTGTTGTAACCCAAGGGCAGGACCCAGCAGTTTGCCTTTTTGCACCTCATGCAGTTTGTTCTTGGCCCATTGATCAAGTCTGTCTGATCAAGTCTCTCTGCAGAGCCTTCCTTGAGCAGATCAACACTCCTGCCCAACTTGGTGTTATCTACAGACTGACTGAGGGTGCACTCAATCCCCACGTCTAGATCATCAGTAAAGATGTTGAATATGATCAAACCTAGAACTGAGGTCCAGGGAACACTGGTAGCGGTGAGTATACAGACAATACCCATGTCATTGGGTATTGTCTGTATGCTCTTAAACAGTTAGTGTCTCCATAATTTCTCCTGCACTGAGCAGTAAACAGGCTTCTGTGTCATGAGCTGTTTGTGTTTTGTGGAACATGTGTCTATTTCTTCAAAGTGAAATAAAAAAATTATGAACAGTGGACCTGCTGAATAAATTGTATATTACTTGTAGACTATACATGCTATATATGTATAGCATGCTATATACAAGAAGCTCATTATACTATTTTATATCATAGAGTTCTTGCCTTAATGAAGTATAAAAGTTGGGATTTTTTTAATTTAAAGGTACCTTTAGTAAACCTATGTTTTGAAATAAACAGTTCATTATGCTTTATACAAAATTGGGGCAGAGGGAATCCATTGTTTCATGTGTATTACCAGCAGTGATAAAGGACCTCTGATCAAATCAATAGTAAATGCACGTGCCCACAGGCAACAGGCAAACCAGAGAAAAGAAAATTCTCAGATCTTAGCTGCAATCACAGCTAACCATAGTTAATATGTATGGTTTCAGAAATTTAAGATTTACACACAATTAAGTTACTGGACATGTTACATGTTTAAAAGAAATGCTATCATGCTATCTATGTACGCACATATGCTATATATAATACAAGAGGAAATGTTAGAAGCTTAAGTAGTTATAAAACAGTTAGAGATCATTAAATAGTTAATAAAAAGGACCTAATGTTTAAATGGTTATGAATTAGTAAAGTAATATATCAATAAGCTAGACAGTATAGGGAAAAAACAGTGTAAAAGAATGTGAGCCTCAAGACATCAAGGGTAAATTTCATAAATTAATTCTACACATGTTCTTATCAGCAGCATGCTCCTTGTGTCATGGTACAACTCTTCTGAAGTAACTGCTTTCTTAATAGCATATTTCAGCTTATCTCAAAGGAAAAAAAAACACTTGTGGCATATTGTGACAAAAAGTGTCAGTCACAAATTATGTTGTCGTTGTTTTAGGTACTGCAGAAACACATTGTGCAAGGGCAGAGTCTTTTCAAATATCTTACAGACACAGATAAGACACTACAGGTTAAGATTGTTAAGAGATGAGTGGAATGGAATATGGTGTTGTATTTGGAGTGATAACTCGTAGCTGTTTCAGCTCAGAAGATTGAAGATGGGTGATGAAGTACATGTGTTCATTGTAGTAGAGAGTTTAAGGAAATTACTGAGGAAATAAGCATCAGTGCTTATTTACAAAATTAACTGTGCCTGATTTGAGACAATAACTGCTATTTCAATATGGAATGAACAAAAAATAAGAGACCTGAAAGGCTAGGAAAGTAATCACAGTAACTCATGTTTATTAAAAGAACGATGTAGAAGAAAAAAAGTGATTTGTTCTACATAATTGGGTAAAAAACAAACTTGGTTGCAAGAATGTGTAGGATTTTTTTCATAATTTGACAAGAAGTTGAAGTAGTATGGCTTACGGTGCTAGTAATTAAAAAATAAGTAAAAGTAAGCATGTCACTGTTCTGTGGCCTGTTACTAAGTTTTGGCTTTTCTAATAAACGTGGTGAATTCTTTTGTTCGTAATTTGAAATGCCCAGTACAAGGCATTTCAATAGTCTAGTCAGACTTATTTCCTTACATTTTCCTGTTTTTCAAAACTATTCTTTTTAATGCAGATTGTGAGAACGTTGTGCCTGTTTCTCACACCATCTGAGCGGAAGTGTTCCAGACTCTGTAGAAGTGAGTCCTCTTTCAAATATGAGTCAGGACTTTTTGTTCAAGGCTTACTCAAAGTAAGTATGCTCAGGAAAGTTCTGTTCTTCTGTAGTGTAAGAACATTCTTCAATGTATGTTTTTGCATATGGTATGCACACACATACAGACATTCACATTCAAAAATGTATCATTGTCCCGTGATGTCATTTTTTCTGGCATTGTAACTCTCCTTGTAATTATCTTCATGTTAAAATTCCAAGCCAGTCTTTTCTATGACACATCTGTTTCTTGAGGATTGTTCAGGATTGTTCCTGTACTTTGAGGTACAATAATAATATGCTCTTGTCTGCTTTGGGCTAGAATTCCAAAAGTAATTTAAGTTTTTGTGTTTTAACAAAACCAAGGATATCAGGCCTGGAGTTTCCAAGTATTTTAAACAGTCTGTAGCAATGGGTGGAGATGACTAGAAAAATAATGCTTCTTGCTCTAGCAAGCAGTCTGAACTTACCAGGTAATTACAATACTATAATGCTAATGGGCTCACAAACCAGGTGATGCAATACTCTAATAGACAGGTCACCTCAGCACCTGTTTTCACCTTTTTGTTAAGGAAATCATCCATTATTAACGACTTACTACTGCAGTACAACCACCAGTTGTTCCAAACAAAATGCATATGAACAAATGGGTTATAAAATGTAGGCATGATGTTTTAATATTGTTTTGTCCCAGTACAGCTTTGCATTTTTAACTGAAATAGGGGTTTTTTTCCACTAAAACAGGATGCAACAGGAAGCTTTGTGTTGCCCTTCCGTCAAGTAATGTACGCCCCATACCCTACTACACATATAGATGTGGATGTCAATACAGTGAAGCAGATGCCACCTTGTCATGAACACATCTATAACCAACGACGATACATGAGATCTGAACTGACAGCATTTTGGAGAGCTAATTCAGATGAAGAAATGTCTCAAGATCATATTATCCACACAGATGAGAGTTTCACACCTGATTTGTACGTATTCTTCTCACATCTCACAAAGTTACTTGATTTGGGATGAGAGTGTAGAATACAGAGCCTACTTGCTAATAAAGTACATAGAGCTTCTTAAAAGCAAAAAAACTTCTTCAGTTCTGGAATTTACACTTGTTGTGGCAGAATTGACCAGATCCTTCAGTAGTTTGGTTATATCAAATACTATTGAAATTAATTTTCAGTGATAATTCTGACCATGTCATGTTAATTTTATTGCCTGTCGTAATTAGGGGTATAATAGAGATAAGTGTATTTGACAGAGACCAGTGGCATTTCTGGATTTAGTTAATTTCATCTGAGTGCTTTAAAATTCTCTGTTATCTTTAAAAATACCAGAATTGTAATTTACTACAGTTTTAAATTCACTTTTAATTTCAGCCAGACTATCAACAGTAATGCTACTGCTGTGTTCAACTCTTAGAAGGTTAATATCCCTTACTGGCAGTAACTCACACGTTCATTTGTTTTCTTTTCCATAGAAATGTCTTTCAAGATATCGTGCATAGAGATACATTAGTAAAAGCCTTCCTGGATCAGGTAATTGTTGCTTTTTTCAGAAAAAAAAGAAACACAGTTCAGTACTTTGACCCCTAGGAGCAGATAATTTAACACAAATACATTAATTACATAATTACACAAATATCATTCAATGGTTTGGTAGCTTTTCTTCATACTACTGCTGTGATTCTTCTCTACATAAGTAGAAAGAAAAATATTGATATAAAACTAAATCCTTGCTTAAGTGTGAAAAACAAGGGACATTTTCTATTACTGTGCAACAGTGTCTACAATTGCAGTATTGAAAAAACTGGCTGACCAGGAATAATTTCAGATAACTGTACAAATGGAATTGTAATACAGCTTCATTTATTGTATCTGAGCAGATAGAAAACATAGGAAGCATGCTGTCTATGTACAAATCTGCCATTATTTGCCTGTTTTGTTATAATTAAGAATATCTTATGTGTGTATGCAATGCTTCTTTATTTTCCAGATTCTTGAAATTATTCTTGAATTTCCATGTCTACCTAATATTCTTGATTTTTAACAGATTTTTCACCTGAAGCCTGGCTTGTCTCTAAGGAGTACTTTCCTTGCACAATTTCTGCTAGTCCTTCACAGAAAAGCCTTAACTTTAATAAAGTACATAGAGGATGACACGTAAGTGAACAGATGATGGAAAGTAGATTTAGACAAGCTTCTTTTGCAGTTTTTGAAAACATGTTTTTATTTCCTTGCAGGCAAAAAGGCAAAAAACCTTTTAAGTCTCTTCGTAGCCTAAAGATAGATCTTGACTTGACAGCAGAGGGCGATCTTAACATAATAATGGCTTTGGCTGAGAAGATTAAACCAGGTCTACACTCCTTTATCTTTGGGAGGCCGTTCTACACCAGTGTACAAGAACGCGACATGCTCATGACATTTTAAAGTCTTCCCTGCATCTGATATTGCAGTCCTGCAGAGCACGAAATCTGTCAGTGGCACCCCCAAACTGGTGACAAGCTTTGTCGACTAAGGGTAAAGCATTAGGAGCACAGTGACGTTGAGGTGTGTCTCAGGCAGTAAGGGTCTTGTTAGAGGGAATTTCAGCTTAGCTATATAAGCATGATTTTAATTAATTGGTCTCTTTTGTGTGTTTTTTAAATTGTAAATGTTACCAGAGGTTACCAGAGATTCCTTGGCCATATTGGCTTGGTGGATAAATGTGGTTATGTTTTGGTATATGGTAAAAGGAAGTATTTTAATTTTTATTCCCCAGAAACTTCTTTCAAGTGTGTGTCAGATTGTCTCTGTCATGCTGTGTCAGTATTTTCAGTGTTTCCACAGAAAACAGTATATATGTTCTCACTAACCATGGAGGTTGCAGAAAATGTTCGTTCCAAGAGTTTTTAAAATTGTTGCTCATATGTATGTGGTGCAAATCTTAAATATGACTTTTACTCTTCTGTTTCTTTTAACACTATTGCTTTCTTCCTTTAGAGCATTTAAACATGTTTGCAGTTTTAATATACTACAAAGTGCTATTTCTGAGTGCAGACCGTTGATTATTTGCAGCTTAAATAGCAGTGCGTTGCACGTGAGAATTAGATCATTACTCAAGCAGCTTTGTGCATGTAAGTGCCAGCCAGGATACTCTTATCATGTCTTTCTGGACTGTCCTGCAGTGGAGTCAGTGATCCTGGTCAGTAGTCAGCTGACTGAGGTCTTTCAAAACACAGAACAGAAAACTCGTGTCATTACACAGCAGCTGTCGGTCCTTCTGTGTGTAAACTGCTAGTCCAACCATTAACCCAGAACTGCCAGGTCCACCTATAAACCTTGTTCCTAAGTACTACATCTGTACATTTTTGGAACTCTTCCAGGGACAGTGATTCCACCACTTTCTGGGCAGATTGTTCCAGTGCTTGACAAAATACTCAGATTAAAGTATTAGACCCTTCCAAAGAACATAAAGGTGATAGCCGAGATAAAAGATAAAACAGTATTTTTTTTTCATTTATATTACCATTAATATATTTAATAATCCTTAATTTAGAGATGTGCACGGCTCTGAACTAATGTGATTAGCATTTTAGTAAGTTAACTCTAGTCATTAGTTCAGCTTAGCGTATCTCCAATTTAGCTGGAAAATCAAAACAGATTTTCTATTGGTATGTCTCAACCTTTCATTCTCAGTAACATATAGAGCAATGCAGTGTCAGGTGAATCCAGACTTTTTTTTTACCCAGAAATCAGAGATATATCTGTAGTGCACATTGTTGTATCTCTGCTCTTTTTGGACAAGTTTAGGAATTTCTTTGTGTCGTGTTTCAGCATAAAGTCATAACTCAGTCTTCACTGGAAAAAGGAAAGATCTGCACTGACTGGAGAAGCCATGGCTGCTTTATTGCTTACCTTGTTTATAGCTCTCCTTTGTAAATAGGTTTCTATTTTCAAGATGATGTTTTAGTATTACTTTCATGCGGTGTGACAGAAAAGTTAGAAGTTGGAGTCCCATTTTTCCTGAAATGCCTAATACTCAGATTTTAAAAGAAATACTGTCCTTTATTTAGATGCCCAAAATTCCAGTATGTTTCCTGAAAGACAAAGATCCTCTATCAAATGTTTAGAACCTCTAAAAGATGTGAAATTAATCCCCATCTGCACACCATTTTTGTGAGTTTGCATCATCAGTATTACCAGGTTGCAAAAGAACTGACATTTTTTGCAGACATATTTTTGCTGTACATGCATGTAGAACTCTTGCATTAACTTGGTGATTCATCAAAGGAACTTGTCAGAATTACATAAGTTACTTGTGCTGAGTTTGTCATTCTACCACTGCTGTTCCTTTCTGTGTTTTTAATCAAGACATTAGAGCCTGAATGGGCTTAAGTTGTTACTCTCATGGGTAAATAGTGAAAGAAATGTAATAAACACTGCCAAAACTTCTAATGTAGAAGTTGTGTCAAAATATAAGAGCTTTAAATCTGCTGCTGAAATTAATCCTTTCAGCTTGATAAGCATTGGAAACTAGACACTGACACTACTAACAGAGAAGCTTTTGTTTACTGAAGATTCTGTTATTTTTTTTAAGTTACTAAAAACTGGAAATTCAGTTGCTACTTTTGTTGCACAGCTGTCACAAGTGCAGAATGTATAGTTAAGTACATTGTTAAATGCATCTGCATGTTGTGTTGTAAATCTAACTCAGGAAACAAAGTAATAAAATTCATGCACAATTTTTGGACTGTAATTGTTGCTGATTTTTTTTCACATATTTCTGCTCTGTATCTAAAAGCATCATTATCTTTTATGCTTTGAATTAAAGAAGAAACCTTTCTTCCTTCTTGTTAAATTTATTTATGCTTGGTTGCTGTCACTGATGAAGGTCACATGTTATTTAGTTCCTTCATTTGTTAAGGACTTAGTCATTTCAAGCTGAGACCGATGGGACTTGCTATGCCTCTGATGTACTCAATTATGAATTTTAAAAACTTTAAATCCCATAGGTGAGAGGTTAGAATGTTTTATCTAGCAGTCAGTGAATACCTTTCTTCAGGATTTTCTTTCCTTACATTTGAAAGAAAATGGCAAATTTATTTCTTCCAGCTGGATTTGAAAAGAAAGTACTGTTTTCAAGCATTTTTAGTAGCACATTATTCCTGGCCTTTGCACACCTAAAAAGATAGCACAGAAAGATATCCACTGGAATGTCTTACATATTAGGACCACAGAGGATATTCCCTGTCCATATATACCAGTATGTTGTAGTGTCAGCTTTATTCTAGGGCAGAATACGCATTTTGGTTCTTATATCTAAGCAAGCAGTTTGTTACACCAATACAGAGTGCCAGGACTTCTCCACTCAGTTCTGTACTGGCAGGCGATGTTAGAAAGCTTTCTTTTCCTATTCTCAGACCTGTGAGCACAAAGGAATGTGATCCAGAACATGAGGACAAACAGGTAGGGTAGTCCCCTCTGTTGTCTAATCAGAGCCTACAAAGCAAGTACTTTGTCCTCTTCAGCAATGAGAAGGCACAAACCATACTCATTAGTATGCAGAGTAGGTTTTTGCACAAGAGTAGAACTTGGTTGTCTTGTTTGCCTTCATCCTGACACAGAGCTCCTGTTGCACTTCCTACTTGGGCAAAACACTAAGGAAGCTCCAGGGCAGCATGTGGTTATTTGCAAAGTTGTTCACATGATATTTCAGTTATAGAAAGTAATTGTCTCACTTCTCAAAGCCATGCTGTTCATATGCCTGCCCAAAAGTTTCAAACACAGAAGATTTTCAATTGAAGTTCAGAAGTATGAAGTAAAGGATGCATTCCTGACAATGGCCATCAAGTAAGTCCGGGGCAGCTTTTAAAAGCAAAAGATCAGAGGAAAGAGAAATTTCTTAACACAGAATTGCAACTGGTAATTGTTCCTTTCTCTTAGATACTTCTGTCTTTATTGTCACATAGATGGAGGAGGCCTTTGACAACTGGAAAAGAGCCAAAAGACTGAGGAACTGCAGGTTGACCGGTTTTACTCAGGTATTAAACAAAATCATGCCATGTGTTCTCTTAGACTTTGTGTCTTACCACATGAGGGAGCAAAAGGTGATTGGGAGTTACCAGCACAGAAAAGTGAATAATGCTTCATCCATCTCATTATATTTTGTGATAAATGACTGGATTTGAGGATGTGGAGAATGGGATGTAACAGGCTGACTTCAGCAAGGCTTCCAGCACCCTCCCACAATCTCCCTGTAGCCAAGCTGGTGTTGAGGTGGGGATGTGTGCCCCACAAGTGCGGTATCTATCTCGCTGGGTATTTGGGCTTAGATGTGATGGCCACTGGGTCATATCTGACTGGAGGCTGCTGCCCTGTGGGATCCCAAAGGGTCTCCCCTGGAGTTTGACTTGTGCAATGTCTCTATCCGTGACCTGAGGAGGTGACCAAGGCCTTCAGGTTTGCAGGTGGTGCCAAGTCAGGGATCACTGTTCAACATGCACAAGGGCAGGGCAGCTGTCCAAAGGGATGAGGGTGGGAGGAAAGGATGGGTTCCCCATGTCCTTGGGGCTGCAGAAAAGGGCAGCCCTGCCTTGGGCTCTGGAAGCCACAAGACCATGGGCAGCTCTGGGGACATGGCCCTGGGTCCTGGTGAGCTTATGGCCCAGGAGGACAGCTGGGCAGTGGGGATCACTCAGAGAAGGGTTCTATTTCTCTGCCTGGAGGGTTCCCAAGCTTCACAGGATAACATCCTGAGCCGTGGTCTGACCATAGGGCTGAGCCTGCTCTGAGCAGGAAGATGAATGGAGACCCTCTGAGGTGCCTACCAGCACAAAGTGTGCTGTGGTGGCAGGCTGCAGCCATTTTTCCTTAGGCCAGAGAAAACAGGTGGGCAGTGACCTCTGGAGGGTAAGGGTCCAACCCCCTGTGTGGACCAGGCCAACTCCTGTCAACATTGCTCATAGAATTGTCTGGTCTGTTCTGACCAGAACTTCATTCCAAAAGCTTTGAGGTGGCCTTGGGTTCACCAGTAAAACTGGAGATATGCTGGTACATGAATCTCAAAAAGAAAAGTATAGGTATCAGGAATACTTCATCTCTAGGGTCTAGTGCACATGTTAAAATTAATGGCAGCATGTCCTCTAGTTGAAAGATTGGGATTAATCAGGACTTTTTGTAGAAACATCTCTCTATAGCAAGGAAACAAAGACTTAAGATAGAGAAATTTACACATCTAAGCAAGGGGGAGTAAGTAAAGTTCATTTCTGGCTGAATTTCAAACTAAAAGTGTGATTCTCAAAGGCAAATATCTGAAGCTTCATCCCTAATCTGTATCTAACAAAAAGCCAAAATGTCTGAAAATGTACAACAGCCAGAAGCTAATGGATGCAACTTCGAGGTCAATGCCAGTCTCTTCCATTTATAAAGTGGTCTCATTATAGAACAAGAGAGTGTCTTACAGCTTCAATTAAATATGATTAATGGACAGACTTGTTGTTTTCAGCAGAAGCAGGAATGTAAGAAATTAAAGGTCAGGGAAATTTGTACTGTAGCCTATACACAGAATAATTCAATATTTTTTGCTGAAGTGTTAAGCTGACTGATGAAACTGCAGTTTTGGCCTTCAACATTCATCCATGGAAATACAAAGCAGTTTGTCCTGTGTGTCTCAGGCTGCCTCTTCACTGGAGATTAGTCCTGTGTCACTTCATCACATTCTCTGCCTCACCTCTGTAACAGCAGTATATGAAAATAGTTTCTGATAACGTGGCATCTGGAGGAAGAACCTTCTGGCATTTTGGGGTGTTTTAGTAGCCAAAGGCACCTCCACAGACAAAACACAAATAGCACAAGGGACCTGGATAATAAGTAATGACTAATTAACTTTATACCAGCTGTATACCAGCTGTATTCTCTGTTGGCAGAGAACTAGATGCTGGCAGGACGAAGAACATTTTGGGTTGTCTGCTTTTGCCATCATAACTGCCAAAGTCTGAAGCTTTCCCTTGAGGTTGAAGACTTGAGAGGCAGCTGATGCAAACATGATTGACATGTTTTTGAATAATGATCACACTAGAAGGAAATGTGTAGGACAGCAAAGTTCTCAGTGATCTAGGCAAATCAGATATACCAGCTTTTAATTAAATAACAATGCAGGGTATTAGCCTTGACTGTGACAGTGTTAATTATAGGTTTGAAGTCCAGTGAAACCCATAAGCATGCAATTGCT